CAACTGCCAGTGACATCACCGGCTCATGCGCTATGAAAGAATGGCATACCCCTGCTGTTCCTTCAAAGCTCTGTACTGCTGGAGTGATCATCACTGCTTAGCCAAGCTGTTGCAGCCCAGGAACCTGTAAGGATGGCTGGATGAAGGAAGCCTCTGCAGTGGTGAGTGCTCTGCTGGAGGGCTGTGTTTCATGGCAAGCCTTTTATAGTGTGCATCTTTTATAGTGAAGCATACTAGCACTTTATGCCTTTACTTGTAGGAAAAATTTCACACACACTTTTAAGTTTTTGTATAGAGCAGAGGGATTAAGACATCTGTTTATTCCTGTCCATTTCCCTGTTAGAGACCCTCCTATATGAAAAAAAAACAAAAAAAAAAGTTACACTTACGGTAACACCTTTTCCAGGAGTCTTTTAGGACAGCACCTTAAGAGACCTCGGCTCCTCCCCACCTGAGGAAACACCTACACCCAAAATAAAAAGTACAGCCTCCCCACTCCAAGACTTAGCAGCTCCAGTCACCTGGGGAGACACAATACGAGTCACAAAAAAACAACCGTACCATATAACAAAATGCTACAAAAGGGTGGGTGACTGGCGCTGTCCTGGAAGACTCCTGGAAAAGGAGTTACCATAAGTGTAACTTTGCTTTTTCCCCTCCCTGTCTTTCAGGACAACACCTTGACAGGATACGCGAGTACTCACTCCTAGTGCGGGACCACCGCTTGTTAGAACCTTGCATCCAAAGGCCTGCTCATCTACCGAGACCGGGTCAAGTCTGTAATGCTAAACAAAGGTTTTGTAATTGGGCCAGGTAGCAGCCCTACAGATCTGTCGCCATGGCCCGGGTGGAGTGCGCTACGATGCCCTGTGGGACTTCCAGACCCTCAGTCAGATACGCTTGTATAATTGCCAGTCTTAGCCACCTAGCTAAAGTGCGCCTAGAGGCTTTACAGCCCTTGCTTGCCCCTGAAAACAATACAAAAAGGGAATCTTGAGTTCCTGAGCCCTTTAGTCCTATCTAAAGAACACATCTTCTAACATCCTACCTGTCAAATTTCCTTTCTTGGTAACACAAGGGGTTAGAACAAAAAGTTAAAGTAATTTCTTGGCCTCGATGAAACCTCAAGGCTATCTTCGGTAGGAAGGCCGGGTCCGTCCTAAACATTACCTTATCCGCGAAAATCTGGAGGAAGGGGCGATGATTGACAGGGCTTCCAACTCACTCTCATCTCTGTAGTAACCACTACCAGGAATACTGTCTTGAGGGTCAGGATCTTGAATCTAGAAGTTCAAACAGAGGGCTTGTCAGCACATTAAATACCATTGTCAGGTTCCACTTTGGAAAGGGCCTTACTGTTACAGGTCTCTGCCTGGTCAAGGACTTAAAGAATCTAGCCACCAGATCCTTCCTGGGGACTCCAGGAAACCACTAAGAGCCAACATTTGGCCTTTCAGCGTACTCACCAATAGCCGCTTGTCGGCTCCCGCCTGCAAAAACTGCAGGACTGAAACGGCTATGTGTTTCCAGGGAAGTCTGTGCACACCATCTGTTAAAAAGCTTCCAGACCTTAAGGTAGATAGAATGAGTCTCTTTTTTCCTACTAAGAGAGTGGATACAACCCTAGCTGAAAACTCTTTGCTCCTCAGAAACCAGGGCACTAGGTTCTGTCTACCTGGGGACACAGAGCCGGGTCCTGAGACAGCAAGTCCTCCCGTCACGGCAATATCTAAGGATCATAGGCAGCCAGGGTCGAAAATCAAGCTCACCTGGGCCAGTGCGGGGTTATCAGGATCAAAGAAGTGTGCTTGGATCTGAATTTCCTCAGAACTGCTGGCAATGAGATGGGAGAAGGCGTAACATAGGGGAAGTCCCACTGCTGTGCTTGTGCATCCACTGCCAGTTTCTCGACAAATCTGTTTAGAGAGCAGAAAACCGGAACTGGTATTTGGCCCAATGCAAAAAAAAAAAAAGGCTATGGATGGGGACCCCCACTCCCTTATGATGGCTTGGTAGATCTCCCACCTGAGGACCCATGCCGATTCCCTGAGCTGCCTCCTACTGAGAAAGTCTGCCACCTGGTTTAGATCCCCCTTCAGGTGGACGGCGGATAAGGAGGCAACGTTGGTCTTGGCCAAGCTGAGCAGCTCCGAGGCCAGGGACCACAATGTCTTGCTTCGTGTCCCTGCCTTTCTTTTGACATAAGCCACGACAGAGGAGTTGTCTGCGAAGCAGCAACGTGCTGGCCTCATAGTTGCTTCTGGAAGGCCACAAGGGCCCACGATACCGCTTTGAGTTCTTTCTAGTTCGAGGATCTCTTCCTCTCTTCTGGTAGCCAAGAACCATGTGTTATGGACCTCTAGGTACACTCCCCAACCCCTGGCACTCGCGTCTGTCGCAACTTCCCTGGGATGGGAAAGGTCCATAACAGCCCCTGAACCAAATTGGCTGACCTCCACCACCAGAGGGTTCTCTTCACCCGAGGGGGTACCTGTATCAAGAAGTCCAAAGACTCTTGCCAGTGATCTCAGATGTCCAGAATGAACAGCTGGAGGGGCCGCAGATGCAAACCTGCCCACTGTACCACTGGGATGGATGAGGTTAGCAGGCCCAGCACTGACACGGACTCTTAGGGACATGGCTTGATTCCTTAGCAGCCACCTGATTCCCCTGTCTAACGTTAGGATCTTCTTCTGGGGTAGAAAAGTTGTCTGAAGGGTGGAATCCAGCTCATAGCCCAGGTACAACATCCTTTGGGCTGGGATCAGATTCGACTTGGATAAGTTTATTATCCAGCCTATATTCTCCAGGTGCCTCATCACCAGGGTTATGTCCGATAGCTGTTCCTCTGAGTTTGCAAACAGATCGTCCAGGTAAGCCACCAGTGAGACTCCCTTTAGGCGAAGAAACACCAGGGCCTCGGCCATGATCTTTGTGAAGATCCTGGGTGAGGAGGAAAACCCATACCGCCAACCTGAGGAAAGAAGAGACCTGACAGAACAAAAACCACTTCTCCCTTACCTCTTTCTTTTGGCCCCCAGGGCCTTTTCTGCACCTGATTCTGGGGACAAAATTTTTATTCCCCCCCATGCTTGGAGCTTCCTCTTAAGGGGAAAGGCATTTATCATGTCTGCGGTGTGATCCGGCACCATCTCAAGCCCTGGGCCAAAAAGGAAATTAAATGGGATGCCGCAAAGTTTAACTTTTGAGGCGATGTCCCCCTGCCAGGTCTTCAACCAAAAGGGATCTGCAGGCAGAGTTACCTCACCATCATCCTTACTGACTCCACAGAGGAGTGTGGAGTGTGTCTGAGGCAGAGATACATTTTCAACTAGAGACCTAAAGGAATCAGAAAAGGTAACAGTCAGTTCCCTAACTGACTTAACCAGGTCCCCCCGAGAAGGGACCTCCTCCCTGATCAGGCTCTCAACGCAGGACTCAAACAACACCTTCGTCCAGGAGTCCCTGAGGATCACCTTGCATGAGGGGCACTTTTTAGCCCCATGGTGCAGCTTGGGCTTCTCCCTGGCTTTTACCTGTCACATAGCAAACAGATGGGTCTCCCATTAACCACAAAAAGGGACTGGCCGCCCGCCTGAACACAACCCCCCACGGCAGGGGTTGGGAAACTAGCTAGGCACCCTTCCACCCCCTGCTTTAGTTCCTACGCCCACCAGGAGGGCTGGGGCACCCCCTGGGAGGTAGGGGGGCCGAACAGGTAAGGAAACAAAGGCTCCTCTGAGCCACCTACCTGAGACTGGCTGGTGCCCCAGTGCCTCCGCTCCAGACAAGTTCCAGGTGGTGGTCTTCCCAGAGTTGCCTGTCTCTGCAGGATTCAGCCCTGAACCAAACTCTGGCCCACACTTAAAGGGACATGGCCAGAAGCCGCATCCTGGGAGGAAGTCCCTGCCCCTCTGCTGGAAGAGACGTTCCCCATCATCCAACCCCATTGCCAGCACAATGTGGGGTGGTAGTACTTCTCCCTTGGTCCCTCTGGACACCGAACCATAGGCGCTTCCAAGACTGTCTCACCAGAGGAAACAACGTTACTGATGGAGTGGGAAGGCCATACTTTTAATTTGGGTAGAGATGTTAGGTGTGTGAAGTGAGCATGGACTCATGACCTGTATTCTCTTTGCATTATTAGGCTAGGTTCACACTTGTGCAGCTCTGTGATGTGTTTTGTGCACCATTGCAGGATCCCTGGCACGGGGGAAAGCAAAATCATGAGCCGTGATTACAGCACACACAATTTCTATATAGAATAGGAGGAAAAAAAAAAAAAAAAGGGCTGAATTTCTATACCACTTACTGTTCATTCCTCATGTAGCTTCATAATTTGTTTTAGTGTGTCACTTCAATTGCCAAAGCTCAGTATTGGAAAGTTATTTTATTTTTCAAGCTATACTACTCAGACTAATTATAATTAGTGTCGTTTTTTTTCTGCCTCCTTGTAATGTCCTGAATTCCCCAAAAAAAACTTACCACCCCCACAGTACCAAAGATTCATCCCAAGATCAGCCATTGGCATTAACACAGCAAGGAGATCTCAACCTTCCATGATGTAGCTGCTTTTGTACTAGAATCTAAGAAAGGAAAGTCCATCCCCTATTCCCTCCTTTATTCTATGCAGTCATCCCCTTAGCTCTCAGCGACGAGTTGGACCAACCTGAAGCAGTTCCACTTTTGTACATATTGCAATTGTAATTAAGGTAGCTTGTGAAGGAATGCTGGCATTTAGATTGATAGGCAGACTCAAACAAAATTAGGCTTTTGTTGACTGAATTCTAGCAAAGCATTGTCTCGCTCTTGGCAGGAAGCATTTTATCGTTTCTCAGGGGGTAGGTGTGAGGCACTACAGAAAAAGACCAATACACCATTTTAGAGGGAGCATTTTATTTAGTTATACCCCTTCTAACAGTCCATTATAGTCAGTACCAAAGATGAGAAAAAAAAAAAATGCAAGTTTTGTACAGTGCAAAAGGCATTGATGTAAATTACTATATAATTCCAGCTTTGTTTTTCAGAAGGGGATCATGCTCATTGTGGCTTCCATGAAACAAGACATCTTTGACTTGTCTGAAGTACACACTGATCTGACTGCCACTTCCATCTGTTGCATTCTTGATGGGCTTGTACTCCTTATATTTCCTAAAGAGGGAAACGTTCAATTGCTTTAACACACATGACCATGCAATTTTCAGTTTCTTACATAACTGATCTGCACAGATTACCCAGTGTACTCATGGGGAAAAACAAAAATGAGAAGCCAGTATAGCAAGCTTGTTAAAGAATCAGGTGTATAGCTTTAGCATATGAATTAGAGTGAAAGCAAATGGCAAAAAAAAAAAAAAAAGCACACCAGCTAGGTCTTCCATTATGAAGTGGTCACAGAAACTAGTGCCATCAATTATTTGTACCAGAACTAGGCAAACAGCTGGAGCACTCACCTGTACAGAATGACACCGGCCACTGTTGCAACAAGGACCACCAATCCAAGTATAGTCAGGACTACAGAGGTAGTCTTTGTTCCTGATCCTACAAGATAAAAAGCTTTATCCTTATCCAGAATAGACAACAGAACATACATACAGACTGGGTAATGTGTAAGGAATGCAAGGATACCACATAGTTTGATGGAAATAAATATATCAACCTACAGAGGACTGAATTCAAGACACCCTGAGAAGCAAAGTGAAAAAGTGATGTAGCAGTCTAGTCCATTTTGCTGAAATTTCACTGCAAACTCAAGTAAGCTTGTATGCGGCCACCCCCCATGTGCTTGTATGCATGCCTGAAAATGTCAGGGCATGCTCTTAATGAGCCAGATGGTGCCCTGGGGCATTTCCTCCCAGACCTGGAGGTCACTGAGCTCCTGAACAATCTGAGGTGCAACCTGGTGGCATTGGATGGACCAAAACAGGATATCCCAGAGGTGTTCTTGGATTTAGGTCAGGTGAGTGTGGGGGCCCAGTCAATGGCATCAATTCCTTAATCCTCCACTGCCTGCATACTCATGCCACATGTGGCCAGGCATTGTTGTGCATTATGAGAAACCCAGGACCCACTGCACCAGTATAGGTTCAGACAATGGCACCCTGACTGCCATTTGGTAACTAGATGAAATCCTTGGACCCATTGTCTAGCCTGTAGAGGTCTGTGCTTCCCTCCATGGGTATGCCTCCCCAGACCATCACTGACCCAAAAAAAAAAAAAAAAAAAAAAAAAAAAAAAAAAAAACCCCCAAACCCCCAAAACAAACCACCACAACCCTGGCATGCTGAACGATGTTACAGGCAGCATAATGTTCTCCATGGCTTCTCCAGACCATTGCACGTCTGTCATGTGCTCAGGGTGAACAGCACAGGGCACCAGTGGCAGACCTGCAAATTCTGGTGTTCAATGGCAAAATGCCAAATTGAGATCTATGTGATGGGCAGTGACCACAGAGCCAGCTAGAGGATGTCAGGCCCCCCTCATGAAGTCAGTTTGTCAGACATTCACACCAGTGGCCTTCTGGAGGTAGTTTTGTAGGGCTCATCCTGTTCCTCCTTGCAAAAATGAGCAGATACTGGTCCTGCTGATGGGTTAGAGTTCTTCTATGGCTCTGTTCAGCTCTCCTAGAATCTCCTCCATGCTTGAGACTGTGCTGGGAGACAGCAGACCTGGCAATGGCACTTATTGATATGCCATCCTTTGCAATCTGCCGGGTCCAGGTATCTCCTCATGCTACCAGTAGTGACACAAACCCTAGTGAAAACTTGAAACTAGGTCTGAAGAGATGAGGGGGGCCTCCACCTGTATAACCATTCCTGTTTTGGGGGCCATCTCATTGTTGCCCTAGTGCTCCTGTTAAATTTAATTAATACCAAAAGCAGCTGACAGCCCCCTCTGCTACTAACTGAACAGAGTATGCATGCATGCACAGTATGTATCACTTTCATGTCTTACTGCCACCTTGGAAGAGGGCCTACAAGTATTTTTAGCCACCAATTTGCTTTAATGAATATCCAGCATAACACAAGTGTGATCTACTACTGTAGTCAGGGCTTTGCCAAAAATCCATCCTACACAGTAAGAGTCAACGGTGCCTCTCTCCACCATTTAAATACACCACCATATTGCAATTACCTCCATCTACATAGACCAGGGTACTTGCAAGAGCCAGACTTGCATCATCACTTAGTGTAATATTAACACAGTAGGATCCCGGTTCTGCAAATGCTCTGCGTAGTGTCAAGAGGCACTGGTCTGAAGCTGGAATCTGATCACATACCATGTTCTGAGGAATCATGCATGAAGTATCGGAAACAATTGTGCAAGCATCTGTAGGCATGCTAGGAGACAAACCATATTAGAAGACAGCGACTAAGGATAAAAAAAACAAAACAAAACACACCACAACACACCCCACACTGCACCCACCCCTTGCACACCTACCTGCCTTCACAGGATATCACAAAATCTATTAAAGAATTTTCAGCCTGAGACACTTTGATAGTGTTCATTTCAATAATATTCACACCAAGGATGCCATCTAAAGGAGTGACAGTGAAAAATGTTTTATTATTAAAATCCTTTTTAGAAACTGTAAAAGTCTGAAATGACTTCACCTACCTGCAACTGTAATGTTTTGTGGTGTAGTAGCCATATCTGTAGATAAAGCACCCAGGAACTGAAGTAGTTGTTGGTATAGTTGTATGGGTAGTGGAGATAACATGGGTAGTAGCATTATGTTCTTCCTGTAGTTAGCGGAAAGGGTGGCACAGTTGTGTTACCTTTGGACAGAAAACAGTGTAATTCTTGCTTGAAGATTTGAAGCTCAAAACTCCCTCCCACCACAACACTTTATCATTTAAGTGTGTGAAAGCTAATCGATAGCGTGTGCACCCCACCCCCCCCCCCCCACTTACCAGTTGTATGTATTGTAGTATGAGGTGTGGTTGGGGCTCCTGTTGTAGGAAGGGGAGTAGGTGTAACTGGTTTACAGGGTCCTGGAATAGCAGCTTTGATTGTTAGCTTCAGACTGAAGTTTCCAAGCAAGGTGTATGTATGAGTGGAGACTGGGTTATTGGAAACAAAGGTGCCACTGCCATCACCGAAGGTCCAGTTGAAAGACAGAATAGATTTGTTTAGGTAGTGGCTTGGATCATGGATTTTAATATCAAATGAAATTGGAGAGTCTTTGATATAGATGTGGTCAGAGGAATTCTTGTCATTTTTCTGTGAGATGTTCACATAGAAAGGAATTTGATCTGAAATAAAACAGTGCATAGTATTAAGTCCAGAACATAATTTGAGACACTGTAGAGCCTTAAATCATGGGGCACCAATTTTCATTTATAACAACCTATAACTTGGGCCTTACCCTGGGGGAACCCACACACCCCTTCCTCACTGTGCATGTCCATATCCTCTAGAGCACAAGAAAACTCACCAGTATGGTTGCAATCCCACACAAGTGTGACCCCCCACTGTACTAGACTTCTGTTGAGAGATGCAAAACTTCACCCAGCTTTGTCACATGTGGCCTTCATATCCTTAAACCCCTTCTGGAATAAGGTGTGAAAAGCAATACATCCCCCCTGAGCAATAACATACCAGTATATAGTTTAAGGATTTTAAACTGTCAGATTTCTACCCAGTTTCTGCTATGAAGAAAAAGTTTAGTTGCGTCAATGTGTAGAGTGAATCTGAATGGGAGTGGTTCCCATTGTCAGCCGCTTTCTTTCTGAGGAATGCATCTCTTTAATAGTAATTAAACAATTGGGAATTATCATGGAAAATTTTTGCAGATGCCCAAATTCTGACTAGTGCAGACAGAGTGAGCCTGTCACAAACCAGAAGTTACATTTAGGAATTTTTGTACCTCCAGATTGCATTGAATTAAAGTGCCACACCACAGTGCTGCAGATTGAAGGGAAATTAAAACTACAATACAGCTTGTGTAGCAGTTGTATGCATTATATTGTGCATAGTGAAGTGAAGTTACCCTTGAAGTGTGTCATCAAGAGTTCAGGTATGAAAATCCCCAACACAGGCACATGCGGAGTCCTGCTGAGCAGACATGGCTGCTCTGAGCTCTACTCCAGACGGATCAAATAGCCTGGATTCTGAGCCCACCTGCGCACACTGCTACCTTCAACTGCATCGTACAACCCGGGTGCACACCCAGGCACTAAAGCAGACCTCAGATCACACCAGACAGCCTCACCTGGGAAATAACAAGGGAACTGGGACATTGTACGGCTGAGCTTGAATCTAGGGTAGAGAATCTCACTTTTTCTCCCCCCCCCCCCCCCCCACACACACAAAAACTACCACCACACTTAAATATTGGCTTGAAGACTATGAAAATAAGGCCGGACGCTCCAAGTTGTGTATAGGAGTCAATCTTGGACCTCCAATCAACTATGCTCGCCCTTTTTCAGTAACAGTTACCCTGACATACCTGTTGAGAGTTTGTGGACTGTCCATTTCCAGAGTGCCAATACCTCAAAAATCAGAGGGCCCTCCTAGGAGATATTGAAGCTAAAAATTCATTACTATGGCACCAAAACTGGCAGAAGCCAGGGGAAAAAGAAAACTTTTTTTTTCAGGGTCATCACTACCAACTTTTTGCAGATCTGTCTCCACTTACAATTTATAAAGAGATGAGCCATGAAACCTCAAATCCAAATACGCCAAGCAAAATCACATCCCGTACCAGTGGGGTTTTCCGGTCTCTATCCGCTTTACCCACCAAGGCTCTAGGCATGTATGCCGCTCTCCTGAAGAGCTGCAAATCTTACAGAACTTGCATCTGATGGAGCATTCCCCACAGTGCGAGAGGTGCACGTTGCCGTTCTGCCTCCAGCTCTCCACGCAAACCTGGCTCAGCTATCTCCAGAAGAAACCGACAAAGCTTCTACAAGAAGGGGTTATTTTGCCTCATCTGCCCAGGCTGTGGAGGACTCAGTGACTGACAGCTACCCTCCAATATAGATTGGAGCCCTTCTCCCCTTCTATTCTGCCTGCGAGGTGCTGATCTTACATGTTGATGTCTTGAACAAATTCCACCTGCAAGACTGACAGGCAAGTACAGGTGAAACTCAAAAAACTAGAATACCGTGCAAAAGTTCATTTCAGTAATGCAACTTAAAAAGGTGAAACTAATATATGAGATAGACTCATTACATGCAAAGCAAGATAGTTCAAGCCGTGATTTGTCATAATTGTGATGATTATGGCTTACAGCTCATGAAAACCCCAAATCCTCAATCTCAGAAAAATAAAATATTACATGCAATCAACAAAACAAGGATTGTAGATGGAATAATATCAGCCCTCTGAAAAGTATAAGCATGCATATGTACTCAGTACTTGGTTTGTGCCTCTTTTGCAGCAATTACTGCCTCAGTGCGGCGTGGCATGGAAGCTATCAGCCTGTGGCACTGCTGAGGTGTTATGGAAGACCAGGATGCTTCAATAGCGGCCTTGAGCTCTTCTGCATTGTTCGGTCTCATGTCTCATCTTTCTCTTGGCAGAAAAGAGGACTTTGGACCACTGAGCAACAGACTAGATCTGTTTCTCTTTAGCCCAGGTAAGACATTTCTGACGTTGACAAGAGGAATACGACATTTGAAGCCCATGTCCAGGATCCGTCTGTGTGGTGGCTCTTGAATGGCCTTTTCCTGACGATCCTCTCCAGGCTGCGGTCATCCCTGCTGCTTGTGCACCCTTTTCTTCCACATAACTTTCTATTAATGTGCTTTCATACAGCACTTTGGGAACATCCAACTTCTTTTGCAATTACCTTTTGAGGCTTTCCCTCCTTATGGAGGGTGTCAATGATGGTTCTCTGCACAACCGTCAGGTCAGCAGTCTCTCATGATTGTGATTCCTACTGAACCAGACAGACCATTTAAAGGCTCAGGAACCCTTTGCAGGTGTTATGGCTTAATTAGCTGATTAGAATGGGACACTTAGAAAATTAGAATATTGTGAAAAGGTGCAATATTCTAGGCTCAGAGATTGTGGATTTGGGGTTTTCATGAGCTGTAGGCCATAATCACCACAATGACAAATCAAGGCTTGAACTATCTTGCTTTGCATGTAATGAGTCTCTCATACAATTGTTTCACCTTTTAAGTTGCATTACTGAAATAAATGAACTTTTGCGAGTTTCACTTTTATATCCTGGAGCATTATTGCAAAACTTTTCATCTCTGGGCCTACTGTTCCCGATGTTAGCTTACCATGGGCCAGTCTCCAGACTTCCACATACCCTGCCTGCTTCCATGGTCTCCCTTCCCCGCTCTGATCTGTCTGTGCTTTGTTCTTCCATCAGGCTACAGGGACTTCATGTTGGACGTTTAATGGTCTCATGTTTTTTTCAAGGTTATACCTTTGCAGTTATGCATTTACTTATGCTTGTCACCTGCCCTTAGTTTAGTCTGTGTTGACAACGGGTGTCTATTCACCCTGCACTGTCCACCCAGGTTCATATATGGATGAGTTTTATCTGCCTTCTCTTGCTCCAATGGTCACCCCCCCCCCTTATCTCTAACCTTGCTTCCCCCTCCCCCCCTCATCCTAACCCCTTAGCATCCCCCTCTTGAATAGAATTTGATATCCACACCGGGCTCAGAACCACCACATTGTTCTCTTACTTAGGGCTTAGATCACTTTGGGATTGTTCCTTGTGCCCCCACGCCATTTATGTGAGCTCTCGACAGTATCTACTCTGCCGTTGGAGTGATATTGAATTTCCCAACAGGCCCACAACTTTGGTTTCTCAGTTTTACATGTCAAGTTTAAAACGCTGTTTTTTACCAAGTCTCCATCTCCTGGATCTTTATTCTTGTCTGTGTCTATCTCTCTCCCCCCCCCCCCCAGGTGGTGCACCAACCATGGCAAGTATGCCTGTTAATTTTCTACCATCTCTTGGCACACTATGGCCCCCCTGAATGTTCAGGGACTCAACATTCCCCAGAAACAATTGAAGGTATTTCACTTGCAGCCAGAAAGGCCCACAAAATTTGCCTACAGGAAATGCAATTTTCACCACACTCAAATTTCCACCCGCAATACCCTCAGGTTTACGCCTCCCCTGCAACAACTAAACGAAGAGTATTGGTTGCATTCCACCGCACTATCCCCTTCATGCTCTCAACTGAAATTAAAGACCCAGCAGGATGTTATATAATACTCACTGGTCAACTCATGGACTTGGATGTTACTATAGTGTCCTACTATACTCCCAATATGCGTACCACATCCTTCCTCTCCCACCTATTTGAGGCAGTAGCCACACAAACTGGGTACAGATACTCTGGAGACTAACCAGGTACTACTGCCCTTCTTAGATAAAGCACCCTTCTCTCCTTCCAACAACCCTACTAAGCTTTCCTTCCGCCATCTGCTTACTAATTACAAACCAGTGGGAAGGAGGAAGGAGGGAGGAGGAAGGGGGGAATTGCTGGAACTCTCAGCCTCACTGTACCCGACTAGGGTCTCCCATCACTGAAGCCAAAGTATATGCAGTCATTCGTGGCTTGAAATTGAAAAAAGGCCCAGGGCCAGACGGGTACTCCACCTAATACTATAAATCGTTTATGGAGCTTTTAACACGTCTAACTAGTGCTTTCAATACCCTACTTGGTGGTCACGCTTTTCACCTGGAATCTTTAACAGCAATTTGTATGCTCCCTAAACCCCATTTGGATGATACCACCTGGACTAATTATTGTCCAATCCAATCTCTTCTGAGTCTTGACATTAGGCTCAGAGCCAAAATCCTTGCAAGCAGACAAAATTAGGGGGCCATGCCAGTTCGGCAAATGGGTGACAACATTCGTTGAGCAGTGTTGATAGCTCATGCAGCTACAACATGATGTATCCCTGCAGGCTTCCTCACTCAATAGTATCTTGGTCATACTTGCATTATACCCTATGAAAGTGGGGTTTCAGCCCCCCCACTTATGTTGGCTGTCAGCTCTGATTCAGAGCATACATCAAATATGCTGTGTACTGAGGAAGAAGATTACCTTCACATTGGTAGGGACACTCGCCAGAGCTGCCCACTCTCCATTACCGTTTGCCCTCATTGAGCCATTGGTGCACCACATTTGCTAACTCTAAAATAAAAGGGCATCGAGCTAGGAAGCCATCATAAATTGTCTTTTCACAGATATCCTGCTGTACCTTTCCACTCCAGACAACAAACCTGCTGGTCACACTTACCCAATTTGCCACTATCTTGGGTCTTTCGGTTAACACCCAGAAATCCACCACACCTAATGTATCCTTAACCAAGGAAGAGAAGCAGTTAGCCCAATCGGCACTGCCTCATAGGCCCATCTTCCCCATTTAGGTGTACAACTGACCATGGCACACAGATTTTTGCTGCCAATTACCTCCCCATGCTTAAACATGTCCCAATGGTCTTCACTTCCACTTTCTTGGATGGGCAAGATTAATGTTCTTAGGATTGTCATACTGCCCAAATTATTGTACCTTTAGGGTTTTACCAAACCCTGTCCCAGCCCATTTCCTATGGGATTCTACAACAGAAAGCCATGGTCTATGCCCGAGTGCCCAAATCTTCTCAAACTTAGTGGTGGATTGGGTCCCCCCACTTCTATTACCATGCAGCTCACTTGGCACTCCTACCACTATGATGCAACTGGCAAAACCCCTCTCTGGCCATCTATAGAATCAGTAGACTGACCCCCCGACAGCCAGCTTGCTGTGGCTCTGACCAGGGACCATGCCTCTTTGCACAAGCCAGTTACTGTCTGGGACAAACAAGATAGTTCTCCTCTTCCCCCCCCAACCACACACACTATGCAAATCTTTTGGCCATCCACGATCAAATCAGTTTTGTTACCTGCAGATAAAATATTTTTACTCCACTTACATTTCTAGCGATAGGGTCCTGACTCATCTCTCCCAGTTTGAACTAATCTGCACTAACAATCCTCTCACCAGAGGTCTTATCTTGATACTCTATAAACTGAGAGTTGGAAACTAAGTACCCCATCCTACAGAAGTCCACCTTTGCTTCTAATGTTGCAAGTGTATTTATGTATGCATGCAAGTAAAAATACACACATTGCAAACCCCTACGTGGATGTTAAAGGACTAGATAAACTTCCCCCATGCATTCTTCCTTTGTCCCCAGAACCCACTTGAATTCCAATCTGAGTAGTGCTGCAGGGATGAATGGCCAACATGACTGCTATACACTTGGACGTTTTACCAAAATCTCAGTGCAGAGTGAAATTTTAGATTTGATTAGTACATCCCTTGACACCATTGAAGGAAGAATGACCACAACCTCCAATTGTGAGTGGGTAAAGGTGTGAACAATTGCCATTTGGGTCCACATGGGGGGGGGGGGCATAGTAAAAACCCCACAAATACAAGATTCAAGAGTGTTCTACTTGAATAGTACATATGGGTGGAGATACTTAAAGTAGGTTATAAATACTTTCCAAAAATTCAAGAACAAGGAATATAACCTTTATTAAATCAGCATCTTCATGCTTACCTGTTACAATATACAAGCCACTCGCTTTAGCAACAGGGTAATGTTTTCTGTAGCCTCTCCTAAAAACAGTCACCTCGATCATCTGTGCACCAGCTGTGATGTTTGTAGTATTTATTGAGAGAACAGCTGAAGATCTTCCAGTTGTCGGATAGTACTGGCCTGGATGGAGAGCATACCTTCAGTATAAAGCCTCACTTAAATGTTGTATCAAAAATGATCACTTCCAGCACAGAGTCCCATTTCCCCTAGAACAAGTGTGAGGCTCAGCAAAGGCTTTGAAGCCCCTTAACAATATATCCAAATATATTATCACTTGCACAATAAACAGTAAAGCCGCATTCAAACCAGGAGGCAAGTGACTGGATTCCAGCTAGTTTATGCAGAACTACACACATGAAGGGTAATATAGCCAGACTGAAAGCATGTCCTTATTGGCTGTGCAGTATGGCAGGAGCCTGAATAGATTATGTACAGAATCTTCTGAAAAAAGCCTAGATATATCTCAGCTTGAAATTACCATTTCAGCAATTTTCTTGGTGCTCTATATAGAAATACTTAAGTAATCCATGGCAATACCAACCCAGTGTTTGGAAGATGTAGATGAAGTTACGGCGTCTCCAGTCATGGTGGTGAGGAAATGGTCTTCCATCTGGAAACTTGCTAGAAAAACTGCAGTTTCCTTCATTACAGAATGGTACCCATTTGGTCCAGTTATACACATACTGATCACTAAAGGAAGCTAGAAAAAAAAAAAAAAAAAATGATAAAGGATTAGGAGGAAGCCAGCCATCCCTACCTTTTGGCAGACAGACATGCTTCTACACTTATATTTACCATTAGCACATCCTCGTTCATAGACTACATCCCCATCTTCATTCTCCTTTTGACATCTGGGAAAACGTAGATTCACAGCAAATGTAATATTTGACCCTATCAGTGCAGGACTGTCACTGGTCAACAGTGCCACTACTTTGCCACCTAAATTTAAAAAACAAAACCCCATGTTAGGACATTAGATTTAGTAGCCAAGAAGCCGGTGAAAGTACAAGTGGGTCTCGTCAGCATGCTCTTGGTACCTCACTGGATGCTAGATTTGAAAAAAGGAAAAAAAAAAAAAACAAACCACCACACAAACTTCTAACCCCTGCCCCATTTTGAATGTTTACTTGGCATCTTTGGCTTACCACTTTGCCACAACAGAAGCTGCACCAACTGGCTTACAGCATGGTGATACAATGCTACATGCCTGACACCATCTTCAGACTCCTGTTCTAACCCAGTTTTAGATTTAGACACATCATGACAGGTCTGCATTAACCCCCATCTGGACCAGAGGGAGTGGCAAGAGGATTCCGTAGGAAAGTGAAAGTAAATACACATTGTATATTTTGTACCTGAAATCTTGTAAAAATGGTAGAGAAGCTATTGTGTGTTGGCAGCTTATACATTACCTCTCCAGCAGTTTTCCCATCTAGGATCACCAGATTTCCAGGCAGGATAAAGCTGGTCATCCCAAGAGCTGCTGTCTGGGGACCAGCCATGTATGTGGTGATTTTCATGGCCAGTCCTCCTGAACTCTGCCACATCTTGGAAACCTGTAGAGAGAAACAATCTTATTTCCAAATATGCCAAAGCCACATTTATGCTGCACACAATACCAAATTGTGTGAATCTGAATTAGAATTAGTCACCTTTTACAAGTTATGAAAATACCTTTTGTACCTGGTAATACAGGAGGTCTGGATAAACCATATTTAAAGAGAAACAGTGAAGACATACACAAGGGTGTTTCTACTTTCTTTACCCCAGGCACACTTCTAGTAGGTCATTAATAGACCAAAGCTAGTAGGACAGTGTCGGGTAAACATTCATTAACAGAATTCACTGCTGGCCAATAGTATAGAAATCATATCAGGGATGCACTGAATATGTGCAAAAATTACAAGCTGGACACTGAATGCACAACCCCCCCCCCCCCCCCCCATTAAAAATATGAGTTATGTAGGCAATTGTATCTTGTGTGATATTGCCTGGTCTAATCCACAGCAATATCAGTTCCCAGCAACTCCCACCTTCGCATGCACACTTCCAGTAGAGATTTGAATATCAATAGGTCCAAGTTGTTGCAAAACAATAAGCCTTCAAAGTTAAATCACCTACTTCTATTAGCCATACTAACAGTTTTTGGGAGCCCTCCAGTGCCTGGGCGTTAGTGACCTAGAAGCCATCAATTCAGGTGAACAAAGTTTTGTTATCAAGATTACCCCCAAAGAAGTTGTTGCAAAGATAATAGTAGTGCTAGTTAAATATCAAAGTGAGCTTCAGGGCAAACTCATACAAGCAGGTCACCAGCAAACCTTAAGGCAAGTTACAGGTAACCAGCATACCTCTTAGAAATTGTCTAAGACAAGTTCTTGACCTGGAGAAACATGAAACAATTAACTGGTGGTATTCTAGAGGGCTTTACCCAGCCCACTTCCTACTGATTTTAAAATTAGCTGCACAATGCTGTCTATTAGAGTCACAAGATTCCAATAGAGTCAAATGAGACATTTGTGAATAAGCCAGTATTTAGGCTGTAAACTTTATATTGGCCCGCTTCCTGAAATTAGGACAGCAGACTTAAATCACTGACTTTTACTGAAAGGATCCAGAACATTTCCCTACACCTTCAGAGCACTGACCAGACGCCACAACAAGCCTTCAATAATGCACTATGCGACTGTAGTGGAAAATGGTATGTAGAGCAGCATAATCCATGTTTGGTTAGAAGAACCAAGGCAACCTCTTCCTGAAAGGATTGCTGCCCCCCTCTTTTTAATATATTGTGCAGTGCAGAAGGGAGGCAATACAATCCCGCCAAGTTTATTATAGCACAGGCAAATCAATTAGAAAACCTACTACAATATGCATGTCTTACTTGGCAAATGATAAGAAGACATAAAAAGTGTGACTATTGCATTTACACACTAGAAGCCTCTAACAGATGCACTTCCAGCGAAGCAGCATTAGACTTTATAGACCATTTAAATAAGAGTTAACAGAAAGCAGGTTCACAAGTTAACATTTTTTAAATTTAAATGCAGTGTTACTAAACCCACAGAGTAAAATCAGTCTGTATATGCAGTAAAGCATGCTTGGTATACACACTGTGGAACCTAAAGGATTAATCCTCTGCATTGTGTAAAAAGGCTGTTAAATCCTGTCTTCTCCAATCCTCCCCTTCTACTCTCCCCAATCCATCTGATAGGACAGAGCTTCAGAAGTCACTAGTGTGTATAACTAGAGGTTTTGTTCCCCCCCCCCCCTTTGGGAGCGTGCATGTGATCAGCCCAGGGACAATCAGCACTGTCCAGAGGGTCAGGGGTCATGCAACCTCATAGGACTGTCAGGAGGAGAATGAAAACTCCTACAACCTTTCACCAGTGTTCAGTGGACACTGATAGACACAAGACTACTATATACTGCTAATGGGAAAAAAGTTTAGCCGTTTATATTTACTGAAATAAATTGCCTGTTCCATATTGTGTACAACCAGATATAGTGAATGCAGAGTCTTGGGTTTAGTAACACTAACGTGTACCAGAATTAGAAAAGATGTAGGTGCCGAGTGTGACACACCCTCTGGTTGTCAGTCTCCTTTAACTTTACCAAAGTCATATAATGGGAGGACCGAACAGAATCACCAGCTTTTTGAAAGAGGGACTCCTTTTAGCACAGAAGAAGTACACAGGCAAGGGACACAGCCCAGACATCTACAAGTATTAAAATGCAGAAAGGGATTCTAATCCATGTAAAGAATGCACATTTTTTTAATTACTTTTCTACAACCTTGCCAACTAAATGTCACCCACCCTATACTTCAGGCAAGAAGGAGAAATACAAAACCCCAGACAGAGTCAGGTAAGCTCACACGATGGCCATACATGCATCAATAATTGAACCAATTACTCTTATTGATCTCCATGCGATCAATATGCAGGAAAGACAGACAAGCCATTTGCAGCTTCCAATTGAGTTAAAGAACCTCTGTTCCAATATGCAATACCATGATCAGTCAAAACGTTCAGGAAGGAATTAGCTATAGTACAGAGCGAAACTAAGAGTGTGGCCACCATTACACTATATCTCGCCCAACAAGTCTCAGTCTTTAGTTGGAGCAGATGTACAACACTCCAAAATTAGAGATCTTATGAGCTACACACCCAATAGAACCATATCAATCCATCCATATTTTACACACTTTTAAGGGAATGTCTCCCTTACAGACTATTACAAGGATTGGGTATCTGCATTCACCCCAGAACTACACAGGCTCCTGACAGTAGGGTGATCAGCCACAGTTGAAGGGATCCCTAGAAACCTCTGGAAGAACCCTGGTTGAGAAAGACTACTTTAGCCCATTACAGTGGGTGGCTTGTGGATCCACAAAATATACTGCATATCTATTTCCATTAAGTAGCTATAAAGATGTAATTTTACGCAAGAGCATAGACCTCAAAAGCAAGCAACACTTTAACAGCAAGCACATCAAAAACAAACTCACGTGTTCCTGCCTGGGTAGCAGCAATCATCCAGACACTGAGCACCAAGCAACCTCTCACCACTGCAGCCTGCATTATGAAACATGAATTGTTTCCTCTCCTCCCAGCACAGCAGTATTTAAACTGACCTGTACTAGCCACAGCTGAGAGGAATAACAGTCAGGATCCTAATGTTCCCTCCTCCTGTTTATGAAAGCCTTCATGCTCATCATGTGATGGAATTAAGGAAAGATGCCTGATTCTGTGTCCTGGGCCCTGCCCCACCGCTCATGTGCTTATGAGTCACTTACCATGAATCTCAGATTTTTACTAAGTTTCTCAAATATCAGAGGTGTGATTGCTGCCATTGTCTGAGGAGATGACAATTAGCACTTTAATATTGTGTTTATCGTAGACACATTGGGGTTTATTTACTAAAGCTGGAGAGTCCAAAATCAGACTCCCTTCTGCATAGAAACCAATCAGCTTCTAACCTCAGCTTGTTCAATGAAGCTTTGGCAATGAAACCTGGAAGCTGATCGGTTTCTATGCAGAAGGGAGTCTGATTTTGGACTCTCCAGCTTTAGTAAATAAACCCCATTACATCCAAAATAGCTTCAACTTCAGATACAACCCTCCAGATTTCTTGACTTGTCCCAGTCCAAATCTTGACTCGTTGAGTAATTCATTTCAAATAGCACCCCATTGCATTAAGGCAATGCACATGTGTTGCAGCTCAATGGAATGCATGGCAATACATCAAGGTGCATTGTGTTCAAAATTCTGTGTCCTGTCAGATTTTTGGGACATTTTGGTTGCAGCCTTTATTTTCACTGAGCTGCCTTTATGCAATGCATGTTGATGCACAACATAATGTATATTAAGGGCTCATGTACACAGGGTATTTAGAAAACTCTTCTGAACGATGGAAACACTGCTGGAAAATGTAGGTTAAAAAACGTCAGTTTAGCCGCCTTTACATATCGCATTTAGAAGTGTTTTTAAAAGATAACCTTAGGAGACCTTCCCAAATGCCCAGAATGCATTGAAAAACAGTAAAAAATTTACTTTTTCAGACATTTGAGAGGAATAGAGAGAACAGAAGCAGAGAGCAGTATGTGTTGAGATGACCTGTCTTTTCTGGTTGTATTCACTATGGATCCCATCATGAGCATAATGCAGCACGTTCTACCATTTTTTCCTTCACGCTAAACCTGGAACTGGATGCGCTGGTGTACTAGGTTAATTTGAATACATGGCAAATGCTTTGCATGCATTTCTGATGATGAAAAAAATGCTCTGGATAGCATCTGGATATGGAACAGTTAAAAAATGCTTCTAAACGCAAACGCTTATATACGCCTTTGAAACGCTGGTAAAATCTACTCCTGAGCACAAGTCTGGTGTGTTAAAAAAAAATTACTGTAAACTCAACTGCCTGTAAACGACTGTAAATGACGATGCGTACAGGGACACATAGGAAAACATTAGGGAGAGTTCAGAGGCTGCTCACAAAAATGCTGAACAGCTCCTGAACGTCAGTTTAGCAGCTGCAGTGTACTTGAGCCCTAACACACGTGTTCATGCACTGCACAAATGCGAAGGAACCCTAACTGCAGAAGAAACATTTAGTCCCTTCTGAAATAAGGACCTTGCTCCCAGCAATTTTGTATTTAACAGCACTAAAGTTCTACTTTAAGCTGGCAACACGCATTACAAATTGATTTTGTAATCTTTGTACAATCTCATAGACCTTTACCAGAAATTATGTAGTGCAAATAATTACTTAAACAATCCATTCAACAAACATTTAATTAGACAAGTGCTAAGCACTATATCAGTTTGAGTAAATTATACAAATTCCTCCTGCGCGTATATGGAGTAACCTAAAATTAAAGCTGCTCACACTCTAAACTGATACCTCATACTGTGAACCAAGATAAATATTAATATAGTGCAGCGCTACTACAATACTATCCCAGCATCAAATCATGTAAATAATCCACACATGTGACTAAATGAAGTGATACAACACACTAAATATATATATAAACAAATAAATGGATAAAGTGCCACAATGTGCTCCTAATACAAGTGTTCAATTAGTGACCTACAGTCCTGATAAAAACTTCAGGACCTGTGCTTTATTAACCAATCAACATGTGTATCAATACATAAAAACAAACCCCCCCCCTACATATAATGCATATACCACACTTAAAGTTACCAGGGAACAAAGAAAAGTGACCAACTTAATTTAAATATATAACTTCAAATAACATTCCATTGAAAATTAAAGTTCATAGCTCCTCCAAATTAGTGCTCCAAGCAACAATAACTCATGCAGAGATAAAAAGTGCCGGTTTCTGTGATGGTGTCAGCACACTTATCCTCTTGTGGCTAAAATGCCCACTCACCTTCAATCTGCGACCCAAAGGGCCACTAAGCCTCCAGGATCATTCCTAGATCTTTCTCCAGTAATGGTTGGTATCCTCAGTACTCCTCCTGTGGATCCCTTCTCAGGTAAGTGATCAGTACTCAAGACCTCTCAGGATAGGCGCACCAGCTCTAGAGAGAACAAGCATCAGCACTGTCCAGTATAGTCCTGCCTCCTGTACATGTTGTTGAGGATGTGTGAAGGTAATGTACATTATATCAGTTTGGTTATTCTGAAGGAGAATGTACGATCACATTGTAATGTTTGTGGTCAGCCAGCGTCTCCTTCTGAAAATGCTAGTTGTCTGGCTATTATGGTAACCCTCTTAGTACTTTGGGTAGTGGACCTAGAACAAGTATACAGGCTAGGGATTGCTGACTTTGCTAATCTGTCTGCTTTTTTTCTGTGTCACCGATAGTATTGAAGATTGTGAATCAAAAAGAGACCAGGTAACTAGTATTTTCAGAAGAGGATCAGCAGTAGCAGTTGTAGCAATCGTGCACACAACTATGGATGCGAACATCCATTTTGCCAACGATCCTCCATCTTGCGTAATTTTTCACTCCAAATCAGCTCCCCCCTCCCTTTCTGTGGAGTGACATGTGGTCTGTGTGTGTGCTGAGTTCAGGAGTGCACAGGGCATAGCTGGATACCCTTGATGGTTGTAAACCCAATTAGTTGATGCCAGGGTGTCTGTCCCACTCTTGCTCTGAATGCTCTGAAGCTGATCATAAAGCTGTAAACCCGTCAGTCACTGGACTTCAAAAGCATTCTGGGATAGCAGTAAAACATATAGCCATGTGAAAACACTTTTTCTCACAATTTCATAATTTCTCATAGGTAATACATACAATGAAACACAACATATATTCAGATAGGTCATTTTAATACAAGTCACCTGATACCTTACACCCCTAGATTACGTCTACCCAAGAGCAGAAAGCGATATCTCCTTAACCGTCACAGCCAGATATGTCATATGTGATGTCTGGACGTTCAGAATATCGTTCTGCATATTATCCTGCCAGTGGATAGGATGCTACATGTACCTAGGGAAGGTTATTGACCATGATATAAACTGGGAGGGATTTGGTCATAGCCTGAGTTCCCCGCCTAAATTCTCCTCCCCAAATGAGGCGATTGGGTCTCTGCTTTAAGGAGACACCCTGCTGGGTTCCTAGAAAAAGGCTGTTATGCTTGGAGAAGTAAGTTGCAGAGTTTTAACATCAGGAACCAACTTCCGGTACGGTACCCTTTTGTTCAGGACCCTTGAATCTGCTTAAACCAAGTATTCTACCTCTCTAAACATCTTTCTGTTATTTCTCTGCTGTGTTATTGATCTCTGTATTTGTATATATATATTGGCTACATCTTTTTCTGTAAATATTTTTATTGCACCATTTTGACCTTTTCAGTAATAAATCCTATTTTCTGAAAGTGCTCTTTAATGCAAACTAAGAATCCCTGTCTCTGAAGAGCGCTACTGTGTGTTTTTAAATTTCTGCATACATCTGCCTGCGGTGACAGTGTGTATACAGACGCTTATTCAAACATCATAGTGTTACTGCTAAGATTGGCGAGTTTCCTCTTTCTCTGTACAAAAAGGCGGTGGTGGCAGTGTGAACGGTTAATTGCGTAATTAACCTGACCCAGTAACAATCGCTCTCAGGCTGCGGCACATAGATTGTGGTCCAGTGAGCTGGAAAATCTTTGTGTAGGGTGCAGCTGAGCATGGCATTGTTACGCACGTGACAGCGCGGTATTAGATTGGCTAGTCCTTTAGTCATGAGTTGGTGAGAAGGGCTGGGCGTCTGACACCCCGCCCGTCACAGCAGTTACCACATTTTAAAAGTATAAAAGGTGTCTTAGAACCCTGTATAAACAAGAAGTACTAAAATAAATGGACATGATTTTTTTTTTGTGGCAAACAGAAAACAAATGAAAGATGAGAAAGGGGAAAAAAATTAAATAAAACTGATACACTATATTATATCAATCCCAAATATGCTTGAAGCACTAGAATTTGTTACAAATGTAATGTAAAATGACCTCACCCATTTAGCTATATTTTTTGATAAGTGCAGTGATGAAATAATGATTACTTGATCAAGAAACTGGGGTTTGGGGTTACTTGAACTTTTACTGCCACCACATCTTTGTTTGCAGCCAAGGACACTGTGCTGGCCATCCACCAGCATCCTAGCAATCAATGAAATATTCATTTTCTAAGACGCTAGAAGACGCATGGTCATTGGTTGCTATGGTGCACCACCAGAATCTGGAAGCCCCTTTTCAAATAAGTTTTTAAAAAAATTGTATTTGGCACATGTAACTCCTGGCAATGCCCAGCACTCCATGCCCTTTGTTTGATAATAACTTGCCTACTAGCCTTGAAAATAGAGAGAAGTGATTTCAAGATTCACTTCCCATTGACTTCACTGAGGATTGCATTAACGTTTGCAATTTGCATATTTTTACACATATTCGCCAACCCAATCTGACCCAGGCACATTTGCCAATTGCTAATACACATCACATATGCATGAAAGTGTTATTGAGGGCATAACAATCATATTCCTTTGTATTTATCTATTCAAGTGGAACTAAACTCTCTCCATTAGCATTAACTGTTCTTACCCCTATACTGCTAGCCTTAGTA